GTACAATAATAGTTTGAATACTTACAACACTCTTTTTTTGTTTTACGAAGTAGTGTTTAAGATTCTAAAAAAGAAATAGAAAATATTTTCTTTTAAAATTCGTCGCGCCCTACCATAGCGTCAATTTTATTTTAACAGTTAAATGTTTTTCAACATTCAGCTCTCTTACAATCAATGTCGCAGTCATCATTAGCATTTATCTTACCGTTACCATCATCTTCATCACACCCACCATCAGCAGCACTATTACCAGCAGGGATATCAGCATCTACATCAGCACTATTAGCATCATCATCAAAGCCAGAAGCAATATCAGTATCAGCATCAGCAACATCATTGGAAGCAACATCAACAGCAGGGGCATCAGCATCTTCATCAGCATTATCACCATCATTATCAAAGCCAGCAGCAATATTAGCACCAGCATCATCATCATTATTGTCATTATCATCGGAAACATCGGCAGCAGGATCATCATCGTCTCCGTCTCTACGGCCACCTCTGTCATCGACGTTGAAAGTTATTAAGAATCTGGTAAGCAAAGTATTTCTCTCAAGCTTTTTATTTACAATATTGTTGTTCGCCAACTTTATTGTCTTTCTTTATCTCAGGCCAACAAAACTGTTTCCAAACTAAAAGGAAAAGAAATGAATAGAATCTTGTCCTTGATGGTATGAACTTACTACTTGCTTATCTTTAATGATTAATCCACTTAGTATACATGAAATGTGCACTGATTAGAAAGACTGACCAATGCAACACAGCAGTTTCTAAGCTTGAAAAAAACTTCGAGTTCATTTGAAAAGAGCAAACAAGACTGTATCATTATCGCCATTGTCCTCATTATCATTATGATGATTATTACAACATTGTCATTATCACTATCGTTATTATTGTAATCAATAAGATATGAATCGATACGAGCAAAGTAATTGCTTCCTTAACTTGTGCACATCCTAAACACCTTTTGACAATCTTGCAGGATTTTTGTTCTCTTACCCATTTTTGGTTTTTATTCATTTCTTTAGCAATTTCTTTTTCATAATCTAACTAGGAGTAGAAGAAATATGGGCCTTGCTAGTGTAATTAATGCGTTACCTTTACCTCAAACTGTTTTGTTAAAATGTCATCCTTTTTTAACAAAAATTTGTGATGTTATTACAGGAGGCTAAACGGATTTTTGAAGACTTCATCACTAGTATCCAAATCCTCCAAAAACGTCTTACCAAAGAAGAAGTCGAAAAAATAAGAAATTACATCTTTAAGGTGGCAGTCGCCTTGGAGCTATTCGCCCTTAATTATGGCAAACACCAAATGATCGGAGCGAATTCTTCAGTGGAGATAAACAGCCGAAAACTAGGTGAGTCAGAGCATGATCATTCGTTCGGATTCTAAATAATACGTTACTCACACTGTTTATTGACTGACACTTTGACCAATGACATCATGGCGGCTTTGATGATTTAATTGATCAGTGCTGTTAAGCCGGTTCATCCTTCCCATTGACCATTTTTTAGATTAATCATAGTGATAATGGACAATTTTTACCAGCGATTAGAATGTTGAAAAGCACTAAAACCTCAGCTTTCCGATGTCTTGATGATCTCATGGCAGTTGTACTTTTTGGAAGATTATATATTGAATACATTGCCTTCAAACAAGTGTAATTACCATATTTGGATTATGGCTTACTTTCGGACCAACACGAAAGATATTTCTTTGAAAATATGTTACCCTTAATTTCGTCTTTATTTATTTTTTCTCCAACAGAGTTGGCCATACAAAAAACCTACCGCAAAAATGCTAGTGACTTTTATCTTGGAAAACAAGAACTGCAAACGAGCCTGAAAGTTTCTTCTAAAAACTTTGCTAACAATGGTTTGTTTTTGACTTCACTTTTTAAATCCTTGATGTGCTAGAACAAAGCACATTTTAATCCTCTACAAGTCTTTGCAGTTTTTTTTTGACAAGTTTGTTTGTTGGTTTACATAATCTGTTTGATTCAGATATTTGCATTAGCAACTTGGATTTCATATAGTCATGTTGTAGCCAGCTGTTTTTTTTACTTTTCTAGTATCAGTAGTTGTTGGGATCGTGTACAAGGATCTCCATGAAGTATTAGTTACAGATCAACCCTTCAGAACCATAACGGGCACCACAAGGTAAGCTTACCTCCTAAAGTTTCTTAACCACATGCCCTTTCCATCGGAAATACACGTAGAATACAAATAGAAACTCAAGGGTTGAACTTATGAGGTCGTAAATGTTTTTAACCCTATTCAATGATCTTTTCCGTGTTTGATAAGTTAGCCTTTAAGTAATACTGGTTTGTATAGGCTCCTAGCTTGCTATTTTCATTAAAATAATTACTATGCTTCAAATTGATATGCTTCACATCGATATTCTATTTCCTACGAAGGTATTTGGACTCCGGGATAACGGCCGTGGCTATAGATCCAAAACCAGAAAAGTTACAAGAGAATGTCATTTTAAGGTTCAGAAATACGAAGGTAAGAACACGATCAAACTGAGTTGTTTTACGTTGTGATATTTATTCCGAGTACATGATTTCAATGTTTATATTCC